AAGCAGTGGCATGAAAATTCTCTTGCATAATTCATTTTTGAAGCATGGCACAACATATGTTGCATTTCCTACATCTCGTGCGATGCTAAATGCTCCCATTGTGCAGAGGTGGAAGACGGAGGTATGAAGCAGATGTGCAATTCATCCCAAAGACACAGGAGAAGTTTATCTTTTTATTCTTCCGAAAGAATGCTCCTGTGGATTATTCCATTTTATTTTTCTATCAAACCTGTGGGGAAAGTTAAGTTTATTTTGCCCCCAAACCACAGCTGGAAACTATAATCCTTCCTATGACAGTGACTAGCCTCACTTGACCTAAAATCCAGACCTGATCTATATATGTGGGGGAATGAAATAGAGATGAGCTGCCACAGTTCTGACTAGAGATGACAATATTTAGAATTGTTCTTACACGTTTGTGTGTCATCTTTGTGCATGAAAACTGGGAATCAGTACATTCTTCTTCTCATCTGTGAGAGGTTGAGCTATTTTCTGGCACTCTTGACAAAATTTATTGTATTAGCATCATACCGTACTTTTGCACAAAGTGAGCAATTGCAACAAAACTAGAATGGCGGCTGCCTTATGGCATGGACTTTTGAGGATGAGAAGCTGTGGAGGCACTGTTTGTATCCTTTTGAACAGTAGTTGAGCTGACTGTGCTTTTGTGCTTTGCTTCTCAATGGGAAAAGACACCAAATTGTGCGTAGACCATCTTTGATAACTGCAGAGCTGCACCATAAAATGGCCCTGTACTGGAGGCAGTAAACCTTGAGAAGTTTGAACATTCCTCTTCAAGGCATCTCAACATTTTGAGACTGCCAGAATCAGTGAAAGTAACACATTTTATAAGTGGTTCTTCACATCTTTAATCCTGAGGTGGTATCAGGGATTCAATTACTCCAGACTGTAGGTAGGCAAAGTGTGTGTGTATGTGTGACCCATGCGCAGGTGTTCCCCGTCTGAGATAAACTCCCTGCAAGGGGAAGATTACTACAATAGGACTTCCTTATCCACGGTATCAGTATCCACTGATTCACTTACCCACAGCCTAAAAATATTAAAAATATTAAAAGAAAAAAAATCCAGAAAAAATATTTTCACATGTATTCTACTAGAGAGAACTGGCCACTAGAGGGGGTCAGAAATTGTGCTATGAATACTCTGGTGCTCTCTAGTGGCCAGTGTGATGAGATGGATTTTTGAGTTAAAATCTTGTAAGGAATATGGGTTTTGTAATTAAGAAATGAGCAAGAGAGCTTCCATCTTGTTTCTTTGTATAAAGGATCTATGCTATGCTGACAGGTTGTTTGCTAGTGCGAGCAGGGAGAATATTATTCTGAGAGCCTGAGAAAGGACTCGGTGTGATTAGATAGATGGGAATTGTTGTGACTCTTTGCTAAACCACAGTAACCCAAATAACATCTGGTGTGTATGGGAAAGAAGTCATGTGGTGCAACAGGACTGTTTGCCTAGTAACAGACTCTGATTGGATGACATCGTGGGAAGGTATGATAAGCCCTTGCCAGTTACTCTTGAAAAAGGAACTTTTTGCCTGTGGACATTGTCATTCGTGACTCACCCTGTTGTCTTTCACGACTGACTCTTCAGTCTTTCGTGACCAACCCTGAAGTCTATCGTGACCATTCTTTACATGGACTGATTCTTATGCTGTATGGGATTACCCTTGGACCTATGGACTATTTCCTACGGACTATTTCCTATGAATTATCTCTCTATGGCCTTTTACGTTTGGAATACTTCATATGGACTATGCTCTTGGACTTTTCTAAGGACAATGGGACTTTTACTGGAGTTCTTGGTAATGCATGTAAATATATATTTTTTCTGGGTTTTTCCTTTTACCTTTTAGGTATCAGCAGGGAGGGGGTGGGACTTGGAACCAATCCCCAGTAGATATGGGGTTCCTAATGTACTTCAACATCTGTTAATGTGTTCACTTTTTATACACATATGTTTTGGTTTTTCTCATATACTTATGTGGCAGGAGGTGTATTTTCTAAATCTAATCTTGACCCCAGCAGTCTAAAGTGGTCCAGTTTCCTAGCTTCTTCTGCTATGTGGGTCTTGATGCAATCCAGTGGTGAGTAATAACTTTCCCCTTGTTTGGTGCTAGTGGCAGCTTCCAGTGGGGATGGTGGTTTTATATGGTGGGAAGAAGAGTATTCATTACATGATGAAGCTTCATTCTGGGTCCGAGTCCTCAGTGAGATTCATGCTGGTGCTGATCCCTGGTTTGTGGGCCCTGGCTGGGGTGAACAGGTCTTATCCCTTTTAATGGTGTCACCCTTGTCTTTTTCTGGCCTCTCCCTTTATGTTCCATCTACTGCACCAACCATGATTTCTGTAGTTTCTCTTCTCCCCCATCTCTTAGTGAGGGAAAAAGCAGCAGACAGCAAGGAGGAAGGGGAGCAGCAGGAGAGTTCATTGGGCAAGAAAGATCCAAGGATTATCCATGTTCTTCCCTTGACCAGAGGCATCATCAGAATTCAACCTTTGGTGCCTGGCCTTGTCTGTTGCTTCACACTCCTTATAAGCCCAAGGGCAGCAGAGTCCCTCCTTCTTTTGGCCTTCTATAGCATAGATTCTTCCCTTGCGGCAAGGGGGCACAGTCACCAATGCCCAGCGGGTTCGTGGGAGCCTGTGGTTTTAGGCTTGCAAGCTCTGTTCAGTGGCAGCAGTGAGGTTTTGACACTTTCTGTTGTCCGCAGGACTAATCAGCTGTGTGAAGCCCCATTGAGAATTTCCTGGGAAAATTTCCTTGGAGGAAAGCAGAGGAGTAATCCACAGGTCAAAGGCAAAAATTTCCCAGCGTCCCATACTTCTCACTGACTGAATTTCTTGCTGGTTGCCTCTGCCTGCCAGGCATTAGAATCAAAGTAATCACTTGTGGTGTAGAGAAAACATGAGACTCCTCCTTTCTCTTTATTTGCAAACTTTAAACTCACTCACTTTTTGATTATGATAATGATGATGGTGATGATGATGGTGGTGGTGGTGGTGGTGGTGGTGGTGGTGGTGATGTCAAAACATTTATCTGATGTCAGGCAGCCCTAGCAGGGACAGTGAGAAGCTCCATCAGCTCCAAGGGAACTTCATCTGTGAATGGGAGACCCTTTTCTGTGACTCAGCCATTGAATGGGGCATCAAGGATTGGTGGGGTTGCTGGCTGACCCGTCTATTTGAACAGGTAGAGCATGGGGTTTAAATGAAGCAAAAAGATGGCAGCTACTCATCCTTCCCTTTGAAAAGCTGATTTGGGAATGAATAGTTAGGGATGTTTCAAACATCTTCAATCCAGTTGCTGTCTTGTCTGGTGCAACAAATATCTACTGCTGTGTGTGTGTACATACATATAACGTGCATGAGTACACACAAGTTAAAGTACTAGCAATAGTGCATGTGATTTTTTTTAGACATGCAAAGCTGTGCAGTAATATGTTAACACAGTTAACACACAAAGGATGCAGCACTACAACACTCTGTGCATTTCTCTGTATACTTTAAAGTAATAAATTGTCTATGTACCTTTCTTCCCTGTGTGTGTGGCCATCTTTATGCGTATGAGAAGGAGAGGGAGAGACAGAAGCAAAGAAAGAATGTGAAATAAGGAATAAGAGAGGAACACAGTGATTGAGAACAAGGGGTACTAGGAATGAAGTTCAGAGTGACACTCGCTATTTGAACAATTTTCAAGTCTATCTGATCAGTTTTCCCTTCTATAGCAATATATACAATTATTCTCATTTAAATTTTATTTCAAAACGTGCATCTATATCCCAAGTTAGCAGATATAATTGTTATGTAAATTGTTGTCCCCATTTTCTTCTGGACATACTAAGTAGAGTTTATGGAGTTTAAGAACATAAAAAGAGCCAAAGACCTCGGGCACTTCCTCTGGTGAAGTCAACCAGGTGATCCCAGCAAATCTTAAAAGCAGTTAATAGCATTTACTGTTTTAAAGCCAAAGGCAAGTATCCTATTGAGCCTCAATTGAGTAGGGTGTCCTGCATAATGCAAAGGCAATGCATAAGTAATGTAAGGATCTACCACATGTACAAACATTGATATTGAATATGTGGAGGACAGGTCTTCTTCATGGAGGTCACAGCTTTCACAATGGTAGAGCTTGCTCAAGAGGTGTGATCCTACATTCCTGTTCCATGGAAACTCTACAGAAACTTTGTTGAAATGTCAAAACTTGGTTACCATTGTGATAATTTTTTTTAAAGTAACTTTTACTTTTTTGTTCAAATATAGCTCATATATGTGGTACAGAAAACATGCAAGTAATAAATGAAAAAAGATAATTAATTACAAGTAAGTAATAAACTCTGTCCACAGTTTTGGTTGTCCCAAAGTGGAGGTATAGTGCTTCCGACAGTGGATATTCCATCATGGCATCATAGAGCTATTCACTGTGCATTTTTCTATATATGCTTTTAAAAATAGCTAACATGGGACTCCTCTCCCCCCAATTACAACTGTGAATTTTATACATGCTATTCTGTGTGAAAAAAATATTTGCCTGCCTTGGATCTACAGCCAATGAACAAAACTTAAAATGTTTTGCTTCTTTCCATTGCGACTCCCAGAACATCTAGCCACCAGAGGTACTATTATGATGATTGGCCAATTTTGAGAGACAAAATTGTACAGACAGAGAAGCCTAGGATCCTGTTCAGCACCAGAACACTTGAAAACTGCATCACTGTTGTAATACCAGATTTCCTGCTTACCATTGTATGAGAAGGAATATACCATTTGAGCGTTCAGGGCTTCTGTTTGTGCAAAGAGGTTCTGGTGAATATGTCAGACCACTTACGCTGTCGTCTGTTGCATGAGTGTTTTGATGGAAGAGGCTCTTGGCCTTCATTTTTAAAGCTCTCTGTGTATAACACCATGGGAAAGAAAGAACTGCATGTGGTAAGCATTGAGTGCTGATTGGTTCTTCCTCTTTGTGTTTCTTCTATTTCTAGAATTCAATCCGCCACAACCTGTCCCTGCACACCCGCTTCATCCGTGTGCAGAATGAAGGCACAGGCAAAAGTTCCTGGTGGATGCTGAATCCCGAGGGTGGCAAAACTGGCAAGACACCCCGTCGGCGGGCTGTCTCCATGGACAATAACAGCAAGTTCCTCCGGATTAAGGGGAAGGCCAGCAAGAAGAAGCAACTGCAGGCTACTCAGGAGCGTGGTGTAGAGGACAGCCCAGCTGGCCAGCAAGCCAAGTGGTCTGAGAGCCCTGCCTCCCACACCAGTGAAGAGTATGATGCTTGGGCTGACTTCCGGACACGGGCCAACTCTTCGACCAGCACACTGAGTAGTCGTCTTTCTCCCATCATGGCCAACCATGAGCCTGATGAGCTGGAGGAGGAGGATGTGACACCTTCTTCCCCACTGATGTATCCCAGCCCATCCAGCACCATGTCCCCCTCCCTGAACACCCGCTGCTCTGTGGAGATGCCCAGGCTGACTGATCTCACTGGAACCATAAACCTGAATGAGAGTCTTGGTGAAAGCCTTCTTGATGACCTTCAGGACAACTACAACATGAGCCCCACCCAACCGCTTCCTGCTGGGGCTCTACGGCAGAGGAATTCCAGCTTCAGCTTCAGCTCCAAGTGTGTAGGTGGGGGAGGGGGAGGGGGAGGAGGCAACACCTACTGTGGGACCATCTACAGCCAGCCGGCCATGAGCCTTATGCGCCGTCTGCCCATGCAGACCATCCAGGAGAACAAGCAGGCCACATTTGCTCCCATGAACTCCTACCGCAATGCCTCATTGCAGGACCTTCTCTCTTCCATCTCCTACGCACACAAAGAGGGGGAGCCACACATGCCACAGGCCAACAGCATGGGGCCACCACCCCGCAGCCACCGACAAAATGCCCTGATGTGCAGTGGTGGTGGAGAGATTGGTCTGGTCCCCTATCTTCCCCATTCCAATTCCCTTATGAAGACCAGTGCGTTGTACCATCACCCGTCACCAGCCAGCCACCACCCTCCTATCAACAACAGTGCCTTACCCTCTCCAATCAGCCTTATGAGCCTGCCCAGTGACACTTGCAACATGGTGGCCATGCCTCATCATGGGCACATCCATTCCTACATCAACAACCAGGGGGCACACATGAGTTTGCTTGATTCTTTACAGGGACCCTACCCAGAAGCCATGCACACCCCTGTTTTGGGCCAGGACAGATTCCCAGCAGACTTAGATTTGGACATGTTCAACGGTAGCTTGGAGTGCGATGTGGAATCCATCATCCTCAATGACTTTATGGACAGCGATGAGATGGATTTCAACTTTGACTCAGCTCTTCCACCACAAAATGGTCTCAACATGGCCACTTTGTCCAATGCCCCACAACCCACCAATCAAAGCTGGGTGCCTGGGTGAAACCCACTCAGACAATTCCAGCCCACCAGTTGGCAGGATAGGTGGCGTGGGGGTCCTGAAACAAACTCTATCTCCCCAAATCCCCATTGCCTTTCTAATTTTCTTTGCCTTCGTTTGTTCAGCCAAGCTACAGCTATCTGTTTAAACTTGACAACACTAAACACACACAATGTAGGGTAAAAGAAAAAAATGTTTTGACAGGTACCAGCGACTTCCTGCTTGTGCCCAGGTGTATTGTGCAGTACGTCAGATCTGTCTTTGATGTGTGCGATAGGCACGTTAGCCATGGCATTGCAGAGCTGATGCCCCCTCCTTCTTCCATCTCTCCCTCCCACCCTGGGCACCTGCACTATTGCGCAGGAGAGACCATATGGCCTAAAGATTTTTTTCTAGAACTAATGCTAAGTATTGATCTTGGCCTAGGTAGCCTCAGTGGAGTGGTAGTCCTTGGTTTTCATTGATCCATTCCCAACTTGTCCCTACAATGAATCTTCAGTTTGATTGGCCCTTTTCTCGAGTCCTTGCTCTTCTTGGCACCCTACGGCAATGGCCAGTACTTCTCTATTTATATAGTGCAGTTCTTTTCTGACAGACTTGTAATGCTGATTAACTAGTGATATTGAAGTCAGCAGGCAAGATATTTACCCACTAAAACCAGTGTTAGTCCAAGTGAACTCTGGTTCATCCCCGCTCAGTGGTGCCCATTAAATCCTTGTGGGTTTCACTCACCAGATTAAAGGAAAATCAGTAATACTTATTGTATGCTTGAGTGGAAGGAAAAAGCTGATTGTGGTGTGGAGGAACCAGGCCTTTAAAGGTTGAAACACTGGGATGTTTTGAGCAGCAGGGACAATTATGCTATCTACCAGCAGCAGCCCAGGTTTACTTTTTCCTTCAAGATGATCCTTATTCTACACAGAAGCTGGGAAATAGCAAATAAATTTTTTCAGCAGACAAATATTGTGGCAAGGTAGCTAGAATGCAAATTATTTGGGGAAGGGAGTGGCATGGTAGTGAATGGACAATTCATCCCATTAACTTCACCTGCGTCTAGTAGAAATGAAAACTGGTAGAATGCCTTTGCTGTTGCTGAACAGCACAACTGGCTGCATTTTTGGACCATCTTTGGGGATGTACCATAGAATGCTAGTTCCAATAGCTAATGCTGTGAACTATAGTACACAGTGCATAAGTGGGTGCATAGTGGTGACAAGAAATTGAGCCAACCTGACCAAAGCCAGCTTTTTCAAGGATGGCATCTTCTGTGTTCTCTGCTTGCAATAGAAACACATACATTGGTAGTACAATATGTGTATGCACATAGCACAAACAATGGCATATGTGCTGAGGCATCCCTGTTAACAGCATGCAGATGTGCATAGTTTTGCATGCACGTATTCTCTCTGTCTTTCGTTGTCTTTCCGTCTCTCTCTCTCTTTCACACACATACTCAAACACACACATATAAAGGGTAGTTGGTACTACGTTAAGAGGTAGCCTCAGCTTTGACATGGCCACCACTGGCAGGGTGAATTGGGAAGGTGGGAATGAGATGGGCTAGTGGCAGCTACTATTTATTTTGCTTCACTGCACAATCTTGCCAATAAACACTTAACTCTTGCTAATACAAACCCTTAAGTTTAAATGAGAACAGGACTGCACTGAACTAAAAGACCTATGGGAACAAGGGGAGGAAATGGCAACATACAGATAGATGGAGAGATGAAGGAGGGGGGAGAGAGAGAGAGGGTTTAGAGTTTGTTTCCTAAATTCTAGATTTGGATATGACAATCCCAAACTTACCTAGAATGGGGAAGAGATACTTCTTCCTATACAGTGTAGAAATCTATAAGATAGAAAGACTGTGCTGAGTTGATGAAACAAAGAAGAAAAGGTTGAAAAATACAGGATAGGTCTGCCTGTCAAGAGAAGAAATGGCCAAACTAGCTTAAAAGAAGAGACCATGGCAGGTGGTGGCAAATGGATGTCAGTGATGCCTTCAGGGAGAGGCAGGCTAGGTCACTCTAGTTTACTGTGCAGCATGGTGCTCTCTAAAGCCCCTGGTAACCATCCAACTGCATGCCAGGCAATCATTAATTCCTGCTTGGGCTCTGTCTGCCTTACCCATTTGTTATACAGTATTTTTGAACAAGGGCAGAACCTGCCCATTTTGCTTTCTTAAATGCTTCCATTCCAACAAGAAGGACAGCTGCTTCTAGCCTGCACAGTGAATGCTTGACTGCATGTAATCCATATCAGACAAAGTTCCAGATGTTTCCTGAATTTGCTGTCTTTGGACAAGTACAGGCTTTGGGTAGTATGTTGTGTGGGGCTTCATGAAATGAATATTATATGTCTTACACTTGGTTGGAATCTTGCTCCATCTAGTTCGGTGGCCTCTAAACTGGCTGCCAGAAGCTCATCAATGTTACAGGGTCTTTGCTAGCCCTTCTGGAGATGTTGGGTGTTGCATCTGAGACCTCCAGCACAGGCTCTGCTGCTAAACAATTGTTCCTTGGTGGGGTTTTTACAGCCAGTGTGACATAGAAGATAAGAGTTCTTGACTAGCACTTAGAAAATTGGGTTCAAATCCCTGCTTGGCCATGGAAAGTTATCACTTGGGGGTAAAACTATCTCCTTAAATATCTCATAAACTCTATTAGGGTTATTTATGTAGCTTGGGTGTCACTTTGACAACAAATAACAACATAGCAGAAGGGAGCAGCACATGGCTTCTTGGTATCATGCCGTCCACATGGGCCCTAATGCAGGAGCCCTGGAGCCACCAGAACATGCATATCTCCAAATTTTATTTAACATCTGGTCATAATGTCCAGTTGTGCTTGCTAGGTAGTATTTAGGTAATTTTTGCCATGTTTGGGTGTCTTCCAACAAAACTGCCCCCACCAGCCCCAGTTTTACTTTTCTTTAAAATTTAGCCACTAGACAGTTTCTGCTACTCATCCCCAATCACCCCAAGTCTCGGTTAAGCTTATGTTGGTCAGGTTGAGCATGGTTGCCATCTACAGTTCTAGATCCAGTTCAGAACCATCCTATGGACTAAACAACACACTATATTAAATGCTTAGAGTACAGCTGAGGTTTATTTTATTTTTCATTTTCAAATCAGGACCACCTGAGTAATAATAAATAACAATTGCATGCCATCAAGTTGATTCTGGCCTATGGCAACCCTTTCCAGTGTTTTCTAGGTGGAGAATACTTGGAAGTTGTAGACTTCCTTCTTCTGTGGGTGATCTGGGACCGTGAAGCTTGCCCAAGGCCGAAAGCCCAAGGCTCATCTCCCTGGAAGCACAGTGAGGAATCAAACTCCTAACCTCTAGCTTCAATCTCCCTCCCCATGGCCACTTCTCAAAAAATTTAGCACCTAGTTGCAATACTAGTTCTGCAACTGCACTATCTTCCTGGAATCTTTCCTCTGAGCATGTAATGACTCCACCACAGTATTGGGAAACCTGTGGTTCATAGGGATTAGAGTCCAACAATATCTAGAACACCATGGATCCCCCATTCTTGCCTTTGCAGAATTGGACTGCTTTCTAGGATTCCAGACCAAATATAAGCATTACATGATATAAAAGTAAGTGCCAAAGTTGCAGACCTATGTGTTTAAATCTTTCCTCCTTATGAGGAAATATTGAAAGAATTGGACATGTTTAGCCTTGAGGAAAGAAGACTAAGGCGAGATATTACAGCATTTTTCAAATACTTGAAAGGCTGTCATCTAGAGCAGGGGCAGGATCAGTTCTTCAGCATCCAAGTGTGCAAGAGACGTAATAATGGGCTCAAGCTAGAATTGGCCTAAATATCAGGAAAAACATCTTGTTAGAAGAGTACAACAATGGAGCCAGTGACCTCTTGAAATTGTGAGTGCTCCCATGCTGGAGACATTCAAGAGGAAATTGTACAACCACCTGTCAGATCTGCGTTGATTTGGATTCCTGCACTGAACAGGAGGTTGGACATGATGGCCTTATAGGCCCCTTCCAGGCCAATCATTCTATGATTCTAAGACTCTGTGACTGAGCTGCCCAAGTCCCATAGGAAACCTTGTGCCTTGCATCATCTTTTACTATTAAACATGCTGGCAGAGCTGATGGATGCTTTAGTCCATAGCATCTAGAGCAGCTGTGTTGTAGGGGGAATTCAGTGCAAAGATCAAAATGGCTATGCATGTGCCAAAGGCTTCTCTAACATTGTGTTCTTTATATTGTTTGGATGACAAATCCCATATGCTTGTTTTTGGCCATGCTAGCTGTGGCTGATGGGTGATGGAGTCCAAGGATCCCAGATTGACAAAGGCTATCCAATCTGCATTGCTCTTACAAAAAGATGGTGACAGGTGCCAAAAGAGAGTGAATTCCAGAACACACCTTGGAGTTCTCCAAGGCGTTGCCTTATACCAGGTCAGACAATCCATCCAGCCCAGTATTTTCTACCCTGACTGGCCGCTCCTTTTAAGGGTCTCAACGAGACCTGTTAAGTGGATTTTTGTGAGTGGGATGCCAAGTATTGATTCTGTGACTTAATTCAAACCAACCATGAATTTTCTTATTTTATGTTGCTCTTTATATGTCACTCCAGCCTTCTATATGACTGGTACATGTTTAGATTGAAACGTATGGTGCCACCACCAATGTGTCATCTTTTCTTTTGTCCCACTGATTTTTTTTTCCTAGAAGGATTAGGTATACATTTATTTTCAGAACTGGTGCTTTAAATTTCTCCCATTGAATTAATCTGACCTCAATACACCTAAAGTTTTATCCAAATAATAAAAACATATATACCAAATATCAGAGATAGAGTTACACCCTGCTTCATCTCAAGATACTTAAATGTATTTTTATATTTTCCTTTTCCTAGTTAAATTGGGGGAAAAAGGAAAATATAAGCATTGTGGTAAACAAAAAGAAACATCATTTGGGCTTAGAAATAGCTACATGCAAGGAAGCAAGTTACATGAATACAGAAGGGCCTTCTGGGTGCCTGGTTGATACAACTTCTGTGAAAAAGAAAATACACCATCTTTGAATTCTATGGTTTTATGTAGCAGGACATAATAAAAATAATCTGGTCTCTAATAGGTCTGAAAATTAAGTAAATACAACCTCGGGTGAGTAACAACACAACATATTGCACTGTGCCATGAATTATTTAACAAAAATAAAGTCTAAATGGAGAAGCCATGTGTGAAAAACTAAGTATACCTTATGGTTCAGTAACTTGTACAACCATCTTCAATAAGTTGAAGTCATCATTTTTGATATGACTACCGATCACCATTGTGGAGGAATTTTGGCCCCTTGTTCTTTACAATGTTGCTTCAGTTCATGAGATTTGCAGGCATTTGTTTATGCACAGCTCTGGTAAGGTCCCACCACAGCATTTCAATCAGGTTTGGGTCTGGACTTTGACTGGGCCATTGCAACGCCTTGATTCCCTTCCTTTTCAGCCATTCTGTTGTAGATTTGCTGGTGTGCTTGGGATCATTATCTTGTTGCATGACTCAACTTCAACCAAGCTTTAGATGTTCGATAAATGGCCTGACATTTGACTCTAGAATACTTTGGTATAAAGAGGAATTCATGGTCAATTCAATGACTGCAGGGTGCCCAGGCCCTGGGTTTGCAAAAGAAGCCCAAATCATCATCCCTCCACCACAATGCTTGACCATTGGTATGAGGTGTTTGTGCTGATGTGTTTAGTTTTTGCCAAATCTTCCTCACTGTAGAGTGATGGTCTTTAAATTATTTGGAAATGGCTTTATAATCCTTCCCAGATTGATGGGCAGCAACAATTGTTTCTCTATGATCATTGCTGATGTGTTTCCTCCTTGGCAATGTGTTACTCACCACTGAATGCTCAAGGCCAGCAAACTGTTAAAACTTCAGCTTTTATAGAAATTGTCACACTTGGTGATGATCAATTACTCAAGGGCATTTGGTTAGCAGGACCTGGCTGCTATTTAGCCTCTTAATTTCTGTGGAAGCAGAAGGGTTAGTTTTTGACACATGGCTCCTCCATTTTGGATTTATTTTTGTTAAATAAATCATAGCACTGTGTAATATGTCATGTCGTGTTGTTTATTTGAGTTTGTATTTACCTAATTTTCAGACCTGCTAAGGATCAGATGTTTATTATGTCCTAATACGTAAAACATAGAATTCAAAGAGGGTGTACTTTCTTTTTCATATGACTGTATCTGCATTGCAAATTGGGGTATTTTTTAAATTGGATGTATGTTTTAAAGTGCAATAAGGTTGCAGATATGTATCAGTGAACATCTACTGCTTTTCATATTTTGTCCAGGATAAGAACATAACCGAAGGCAGTCTTTAGAATCACAGAAAGATTTGAATTGAACCAATGCAGGAAAACCCAGCTAAACCCAGCTGACTATCTGACAGATGGTCATCCAACTTATGTTTAAAAACCTCCAGTGAAGGAAAGTTAAATGCCTTGTGAGATAATCTGCTCCACTGTCCCATAGATCTAACCATCATGACCCCCCCCCAATGTTTTGTTGAAACGTCCTTATAATTTAAATCTATAGACTCAGGTCCTGCCATCTGAAGGAGCAGAAAACAAACTTGTTCCATTGGTCACATGACTGCCTTTCACAAATTTGTGGTCTACATATCTACAGTTCACAATGTTATAATGTGGCTTGTTTCTGAAGAAAACCCATCATAAACAGAGTTTTCTCTCATGCAGCTTCCCCTAACCTGCCACCTTATATACAGTACGTGTTGGAATACATTTTCCATAAAGCACAGCTGGATAGAGTTGATACGAAACAAAATTACCCTGAAAGGCAGAAGGTCTTCTGATTGGAGAGGAGCTCTGGAAAGCAGCTGGCACAATCTCAGCATTCTGAAAGAGAACGCTTGCCCTATTCTATAACGTGTGCAATTTCCCCTCCCCCCCGTCTTCTAGTTCTTTTACTGTGTGTCTCAAGAGTGTCAGAGAAAGGTGTTCCTTCAAAATGAACAAGCATAGCCTTAGCATCAGATTTCAGAGCTTTGGATTATCATGCCCAGAATCCCACGTGAGCATGACCATTGATTGTGCTGGCGGGGGAATCTGGATCTTACGGAACCAAAGAGCCAGTCCTGTGCCAACTTAAACATTATAGAGAGTGAACCAAAATCAACCAACAGGAAGGGGAACTCAGTCTATAGGAATGACTCACAGTCTATCCAAGGATAGGATCAACCTTCCCTACATTTTAAAATTTTTATTTTGAAGAATTATTTATGCTATCTCCCCTGAATTACAACGTGCTACTTACCCGGGTTAGGTTTCTGAAAGCTATCAGCAGTGGAGCATACTATCCTGCTCAGAGCTTGAAAGAGCTATCTTTTTGGACGACAACATCAGAATATCCCATACTTAACTGCATGGCTATCCTGGCTTGGGTTTTCTGGGAGTTGTAGTTTCTCAAACTTCACCACTTTTCTAACCTCTGATTATGCTACAGCATGGAATAGTATTCTTGGGCAAAAGTTGGTAAACCTCTTCCTTCTGAGATTGACAGAATGAGTTTGATTAATTGATTACTCTTTCATCTAGATCCATATTTGGCACATCCTAAAAAATTTGAGAGAAAAATAAAATTAAATTAACTCAGTTAACATAAATGCTTACACTGCTGGGGGTTGACTGAATTTAATATACTCTAATTCCTTGGAATTCATTTTTTTAGCTATAATTGATTATCATTTTGGGTTGTTTTTTTTTAAAAAAAAATCATTCTAATTATTTCATCCAGCTTTTGAATTCCTTGTATGATTTCAGTTTGCCAAACTTATTTAACAAACAGAATCAATCAGGTTCAACATTTCTAGAGCTAGCTTTCTTGCCTGGAGGACTGTTTTGTTAAAGAATGAGAATAAGTCTTCCCCCTGATGTTTAAGGATATATCTGCCTCCATTTAGGCTGCAGTCCTAGGCCTATTCACATACGTAGCGCTCTAGGCCAAGGGAATGCACACAATATCTTTTAAAAAATAATTCTAAGCATTTCACTAAACCATGGATCCCAGGATTCCACAGGATGGAACTGAGATAGTTCAGACTCCTGTAACTGTGAACTGTAATGACAGTCTCAGTGTAGCCTCACTTCTAAGGGCTA